GGGGTTGGGTTTTTTTTGTTTCTGGGTTTAGGGTTGGGCTTATAGTAGTTGTTCATTTACGCGCTCGGGCTTCCGGTATTGGACTCTGTGTCGGCTCTTGGCAATATGTCCATTGGGCCTTGCACACTTGCGCATTCCAAAGGGTCTGATCAGGTATAACCATGTCTCTCAATCCTGGTAGACTGTATATCTATTGGTTCGGACCCACCCGACACCAAGTTGGTGCAATTGTCGACTCTTCAGATTTCGCACTACGCTGAGGGTCGCCCCAAAGCAACCCCGAGCCTGGAAGCCTCAAGCAATGTACCGCTCATCAACCGTACCCTGTAAATCCCAATCCCTCAAACCCACAAGCCCTAAACCCGAAGAAAGCCTGACAACCCTTACTTTTCAAGTCACCTGAAAACCCCACACTAAACTTCGAGCCGAGGATTAGGCTTTAGGCCCAAATCCAACGCCTTTTCCTTAAACCCCTTTTAAGCCCTCTTCCCCAAAGCCGAAGACCCCGTCTCCACACCTGAAACGAGCCGGGTCCCTACACCCTAACCCTTTTACTTCCATCCTAACCCTAGATATATCCTAACCTTCAACGGTAAACACCCCTAAAAACCTTAGCCCTAAACAGACCATCAAACCCTAACCCTAAATTCATCAATCGTAANNCCCTAAACCCTAAACCGTAAACACCCTAAACACTAAGCCGTAAACACCCTAAACCCTAAACCTAAACCCCTCAACCGTAAACACCAGACCAAGGTGGGGTTTCGTCATCGCAAACAGCGACCCTTCGGCCAAGGCACTGACAGCAGAGGAGGCCAGGATTTCGAACAGGGTTTAGGGTTTAGGGTTTAGGGCTTAGGTAGCTCGGGATTCAGATTCTGATCCTGCCTCCTCCTTTCAGGCTGAATGTATAAGGACCCTTATATACCCCGTATATAGCCAGGTAGTCTCCATATACCCCAATAACCTACAACGGTCCCTATTAAGGGTCCCTCCTAAAGCCCTTAGAGAATGGGTGGCGTAGTGCCCTAGACCCTGAACCCCGTCGGGCTCAAAGATGAATCATGCTCAACTCAGTTTCTGGCCCGCGCTCGGCCTGTAAAAAGCGTTGGGAGCTTTCGAGTTGTAAGGGCGGGGTCTTAGTATATTTGAGTTTAGGGTTTAGGGTTTAGGCTTTGCGGTTTAGGGGTTTAGAGTTTAGGATTGTGCAGTTTAGGATTTACCTACAGGGCGGGAACCAGACTGAGTATTTCAAGGTCATTCGAGTCCTTCCCGTTTCTTGATCTGTGCCGTGCAAGGGACTTCCCAGACACCCCAGGAGCCCTCCACTACCCAGGACTCCATCCTTCATAATGATTCTGACAGTTACCCAGTTATTGGGGATCATCAGGGCCTCTGAACATGGGCAGGCATGAGGTCCCTAGGTAAAGCTTCAGTACCAGGGCCCAACGACAGTTGATTTGCCACCGAGCCTCAAATCCTAAATCCCATACCCCAAAGCCCAAACTCCCCACACCGGGCCTAAACCAAACCCCAAAGCCCTCAAACCCTTAAACCTCTAAACCCTAAAGCCCTCAAACCCTAGACCCTAAACACTCAAACCCTTAAACCTCTAAGCTCTAAAACCCTCAAACCCTAAACCCTAAACCTCAAACCCTCAAAACCCTTAAACCTCTAAACCCTAAAACCCTGGAGCCCTAAACCCTAAACCCTCAAACCCCTAAACCTCTAAAACCCAAAGTCTTGCAACCGAGGTAGATCGTCGCATCGCGGAGCGGGTGCCAGGATCCCTTCAGTTCTTGGACGGCGAGAGCTACACAGGTCCAAGCGATCCCATGTACGTTGAGGTTAAGGGTACCTATGTAGTGGGGTTTAGGGTTTAGGGTTTAGGGTAGCTATGTAGTGGTTTAGGGTTTCGGGTTTAGGGAACGTGTATGTGCTGATATAGTAGTTCGGGGGTCTAGGATACGTATAGTAGGAATTATCAATCATTATGTGTTGGGCGAATATCCCCCCAGATGTGTACTTAGGACTTAGGACCCTTTTGCGAGGTGGACTTGGGCGGGCGTGGGGTTTAGGGTGTAAGGTTTATAGGGTTTGGGGTTTCCCCGTAAACTTCAGAACCCACGGGGTCCCATGGGGTTCTAAGTACTTACATAAATGCGGGGATACCTACCCCAAGCCATAAATAGAAACCCTACTTTCTACTACGTTGGCACTTAGGAACCGCCGAGGTGTCAGCCACTTGTGATACCGTGCTAGAAGCCTAAACTCAAAACCAGTGCAATTACGGAAGAGTCTGTAGCTACAGAGATGTGGGAGCCCTGCTGGCAGGAATTTACTGCCTGTCGAAGCGGATGAGAAAGGACCTTTCGGTGGCCAAGCAGCACCAACAAGCTTGTGGGTGGCTCTTGGAGGGTATGAACTTGCTCTAGCAGTTCTTACATATAGTCCATCGCTATATCCCCCACGAATATAGGTGGTAGTTGCTCTAAACCTGCCTTTCCTGTAGCCTCAAGCCTCACAGCCGGTAATGTAAAACTCTGAAGCACTCCATTGACCTCAAATAACCTAATTGTTTCGGGCTTCTTAGTCTCCTTTCCTTATATAGCCCCTTAAAGCGGTAGGCTTTTTTTCGGGTCGAGGTGCACCCTAAACCCGACAACTGCTACAGGGTGGGGAGTCACCGGAGCATTAGAGCACGAGCTTCTTAGGGTTTAGGGTTTGGGGTTTAGGGCTTGGAACTGACATGATGAGTCAAGACTTTTGGGCCTGTAGCACGCTGAGGGCTGACCCCATGCTTCCAAAGACAGACCCCCTTCAGGACTCAATCATATGGTCCCTGAAAGCAATGTGTGATATATGCCAATACATCACTTAGTAGCTGAGTAGATAACCTTTAGCCTTTTGTGGCATATATGATCCTACTATAGTCGAAAAGGTTAACCCCCAGCCCCTAAGATCAACATGCGAACCTACCAAAGCTATGATCCTAAACCCAAGTACCTCTTATTGGGTCCATTGGGCCCCTGAGGTTGGAGTTCGAGCCTCGGCTACAGAAACCAGAAACCCTCATTTAAAGCCCTTCGAAACTCCACGAGATATTCTATAATCCTTCGGGCTCCAGGTATACTTAATAGCAGGTAACTATGCCTATATATATATATATATATATATATATATACATATATGTATGTAAAAACCCATCTCACTAACCCATTATTCAGGGAGCTGGGGCCCTAGGGTGTGTTAGATGAGAGCCTCTGCAAGCCTGGCGATTGCGAGGAAGAGACCCGGGTCTTGTCTCGGGACAACCCGGCTGTGTTCCTGAAGCACATGGAGGCCACCCGGTTAGGGGGTTTAGGGTTTAGGGGTTTATCGGTTTAGCGGTTTAGGGTTTAGGGGGTTTAGGGTTTAGGGGTTTAGGAGGTTTGGGCTTAGGGGTTTAGGGTTGAGGGTAACGCGGTAGCGCGAGCTGCACAACCGGAAGAAGAGTAAGCCAGAAAGTTATACGAAGGAAGGCAGAGACTTGAAATCCCTTTTCCACAGTGTACATGTGTGGATACATGTACATACTTGTATAATGTATGAACTTCTACAAAGACCTTCTAAACTACTAAACGACAAGCTCGCATCTGAAGGCAGCACGGTAAGCCTCATAACCCCTACTGGCCATCTGTCACATACGGGTTCCACACAGAGGTCTCAAACGCTGCCAGACAAGATCCATCAGTTCTTTCAAGACCAACTGTGAGCTGGGTGATGAGCCAGGGTTGATGATGTCATGTGTCAGGTTCTTGTTCTTGTAGCTCCTCCTTGCTATGGGCAGGCTATACAAGCCCTACAAACCTCGACCAGTGCGTCTATTGACACATCCCACGTCAGTTGGAAAGGCCCTTGTCTACACTTGCTCTGACCTGCAGCCCTTCAAACCCTACATGTAGATCCAGTAACAAGGAAGCTGACTACTTCAGACGAGGTGGATGTCCGAAGACACACAGAAAACCATATCCCAAAGCCTCATCTCAAACTCACGACGCTCGAGCCATGCCGCAGGGGGTGAGCCAGTATACCAAGGCGCCTTGGGACGTCAGTCAGCCCGAAGCTTCATAGCCCAACTTCTGAAAATCCCAAAGGGTCCATGTACCCTTTGAGAGTTCCTTAAAAGGGGTCCTTCAAGGGTTCTATTAGGGTACCATAAGGGTCTATAGGGTCCATGTACCCAAATGGTATATACATTGGCCTTAAAGTATAGTCCCTATTTAGGTACTTTGGGGCCAAAGTATATACTATTTGGGCACATGGACCCTTAGAGAATCCTTTTGTAAACCTAGTTCCCGAAGGTTGAAAACCCAAACCCAAGCCCAAAGCCTACCCTAAACCCTAAACCCTAAACCCTAAACCCTAAACCCTAAACCCTAAACCCTAAACCCTAAACCCTAAACCCTAAACCCTAAACCCTAAACCCAAGCCCAAAGCCTACCCTAAACCCTAAACCCTAAACCCTAAACCCTAAACCCTAAACCCTAAACCCTAAACCCAAACCCAAGCCCAAAGCCTACCCTAAACCCTAAATCCTAAACCCTAAACCCTAAACCCTAAACCCTAAACCCTAAACCCAAACCCAAGCCCAAAAGCCTACCTAGATCGCGTGGAGGAGGTCATCGTCCGCGCCGTACTTGAGCAAGGGGAGTCTTAGGGCTCTGGAGGGCCGCACACACCAAAACCTAGCGTTTGGGATTCAGGGTTTGGGTTTAGGGTTTTGGGTTTAGGGTTTAGGGTTTAGGGTTTAGGGTTTAGGGTTTAGGGTTTAGGGTTTAGGGTTTAGGGTTTAGGGTTTGTTTGGGTTTGAGTGTTTGGGGGTTCAGGGTTGACGGTTTAGGGTTTAGGGTAGGGATGCTTTAGCTTCATCAGGAAGTGCTAGGGTTTAGGGTTTAGGCGGCTTTTCACAGTCAAGGCGAAAAAAACCATAGGCCCTTTAAGCCCTGCACCCCCAAACACTAAACGCTACAGAATTGTAGATACTTGAACGCTCGGAGGAGTATGCACAACCCTAAACCTAAATCCTAAACTCAGTTTCAGAACCTGGCTGCTACCAGTCGAAGGAGTGTGTAGGGTCTTTGCGGTTTAGAGTTGTCGGTGTTTGAATTTAGTCTGGATTTAGGGTCTTAGTTGCACAGAGGCCCGGAAAATGATTGACATAACTGCAGTGAACCGCGCTTTCTAACTTGATGCACAAAGCATTGACATCGTTCCACCGTTGCTGACCTCGAACGTGCCATTGTATTTGGCCGGTGTTTCCATCGTTGCAGTCTACTTCTGGCAGGTCCTTACACCCTAAACCCTGGACCCAAAAGACTCGACCCTAAACCCTAAACCCTAAACCCTAAACCCTAACCTAGTTTTGGACCCTGAAGCCCTTCACCATAAGACCCGACATAAGCCCTGAACCGTGCACTGCCTGACTTAACTTAACTGTAGTCATCATCTTTCAGAGCGCTGAAGCTAAGGCAGCTTATGCCCAAGTAAGTTGCCACATCAAGCCCTACACCATAGACCCCAAGCCCTGTTTGATCATATGGCTAGTTCTCTACATCAGGTCCCTCGTTGGGTCCCATATTAGTAGTTAGTAGTCAAACCCTTTCAAGTGAGGACCCTAAGGGGGACCCTAATTTAGACAACTACCTATACCTTGAGCCAGGATTCGGATGCCTCGCAGAGCAAGGGCTATGCGTGAGTCGCTTGGTGAGCCGTCGCAGGCTCTCACCTCCCAAATGGTCCAAGCAACAGCTAACACAACAGGCGCCAAACCCTAAATACAAACCAAAAACCAAACCCGCAAACTAAGCCGAAGCTTTCTTAAACCCCAAAACCCAAAGCCCTAAACCCTAAACCCCAAAACCCAAAGCCCTGAAAGCCCTAAAGCTCCATTTTCAGATGGCTCAGTGGTTGGGGCTGAGCCCTGCCTTAACCCCAAATGCGGTTTAGGGTTTAGGGTTTAGGGCCTTAGGGTTTAGGGTTTAGGGTTTAGGGACTTATATCACCAAATCACGAAAAGGAACTTTAAAACGGTGGGTTTGATAGGGTCCAGGTGAACCCTAAGCGGGTCTCAGCCCATTTGAGCTCGCCAGGATATTTCACTAGGGCTTCATCGAGCTTTTGAAGCTTTTGTAAGTGTTCTTAGAGTTGTACTGTTGATGATATAAATCCTGTATTACCGTAAGGACCCGAAACGATGGGAATTATGGTACATACCTTATTATGGGTAATGCAGGATTTATATCATCAACGGTATGTGGGAGGTTTTGAAAGTTACAGGCACATTTTTCCGCGATCTCTAGAACAAAGGTCCTGCCATTGAGTATCTACTGGGGCCCCGCCCTTCATTTTGTGGAACTCCCCGATGTCATCCATGCGGAGGCTTGGACTTTTTGGGCTTTGGATTTAGGAGTTTTGGCGCGCTTGATGGACGTGGTTTGCGCGCTGCCGTCTCCAGCAATGCCCACGAAACCACGGTAATACTACAACCCTGTTCTAACTATGACGGCCCCTTATGTTACAGTTTCTTTTTCACAAGCATGAACCATAGCGAATGTATCCCGTGAGAAAAGGTCGGCTTGCACCTATGACTCGGGTAGATTCGGCTGAGTAGTCGTGTCAGTAAACTTAGAACTTATAACCTTTTCGGGGGTATAAAATATAGTCCAAAACTTGGTTCCCCTAGGCTACCAAAAGAGTAGACTCAGAATCACTAACCCTTAGCATCAAAATAGCCCAAAAGCCTTACATAATAGGGTCTTTGGGCGCCCAAATTAGCCTTGAAATATGAGTCCTTTGAGGGTAAGGGTAAACACTAAAGCCTAGGCCGCTAGATTCCCCGTAGATTCGGCTTGACGCAGCAGTGATCAGAGCAAGGCTCGCCTTGAAGGTTATGCCAAGTTCGAGTGAAAGCGTGCCTTGAGTTTTGAGATTTGGTTTAGGGATGACCCGAACCCGAGAAGACCTACCTTTCTCAGGAATTATATATATATATATATATGTATGTATATATATATATATAGATGTATACAGATCTCATAGTAAGGAACCCTAAAAACATAGTCTAGGGCTTAGGGTTTATCATCAGCTTTTCAAGGTGAGGTATCGTGAACCGATAGTGGCTGAAACCGGTGATTACCCCAATGTGTGGTAGATCTTCTGAACTACACACCCATCTCACGACAGCGGAATCGCAATCGTGTCAGCTGTAGGTTCCACACTTGACCCTCCAGCAACCGGGACAGAAATAGCCCGGCACAGTTAGTAGCCCTGGACCCCTGAACCCTAAACCCCAAACCCTAAAGCCTCGCAGCCAGTCTCCGGCCCAACACCCCCAAAGCGGCTGAGGCTTTCGGTTTAGGGTTCAGGGTGCAGGGTGTATTGTTTTTCTCCATTTACTAATAACAATATAATAACAACAAAGATTAATACTAGAACTGAAAAGAATACTAAGACTAGTGATAATAACAATTTGACTAAGAGCGCTGCTGCGGTAGTAATAAGAAGAACCCTAATAGTAATACTAACAATAATGTTGCTATTAGTATGAAGAGCAATTGAAGTCGTATGAAAAATCATCATCATACTAATGATCGGGCTTGAAGCTCCTGTAGGTTTCTACCTTAGTGCTCCAGACCTAACTAGACTCTGCTAGACCTCACACCTTGAGGGTTTAGGGTTTGAGCTCGCGGTTCAGGATTTAGGGGTCTAGTCTAGGGTGTATGGGTTTACGGTTTACGGTTTAAGTTTAGGGCTCCGTTTGCTTGCAGCTGACCCGCCTTAATGGCATAAGATAGGTGATCTTAGCAATTAGGAAGTTACAATACTCACACACAAGAAACGTAGATGCGACACGAGCCGCAGATGTGTATGCCATGTTGCCAAACACCCTAAAGTAGAAATCGACATCCGGCACAGATTGGTAGCTGGAGGGTCAAGGACGTCATGGCTGGTGATGCTACCAGTTACATGCCTGACATACTTCAGGTGCTTATTTAACTAATTGGTAGTATGTGGGTAGTTCTCTCAATATAGTACGGCACCCTTATAATCAGGACCCTAAAAGGGACCCTAATTTAGACAACTACCCATGTGGTATTTCTTGTCATGCCCTACTTGGCCTTGCAAGTCCGCCCTTGTTGTATTGTAGTGCATGACGCAGGTCAGCGTGACTAAACTCATCTCATGTTCTGCTGGACCCAGGTAGCCCACCTGAGAGCCCACCCCACAATTAAGGAGTTCACCCGGAATCAGCTTTAGAAGTCCTACGTACTCTGAGCATCTTTTAAGCTATCCTCCTCAGTTGAAAGGCACTGGCCGATTTCGACGAATACATACCACAAGCCTTGTCCCTGATCAAGACCCTAGAACGTAAGCTCTTGATTCTGGCATGAGTGGTAGCACCTCGCCGTCAGACCATGACCATTTCATTTGCAGCTGCACTGCTCCTACTGGGGCAGACCGCTGGCACGAAGGAAGTGCAACCGTTAGCGGCTACCTATTTTGCGCAAGGCATGCTGGTTTTAGGTACATACACATATATATACCACACACACATATACACAAATATACATATGCACATACATTTGCATATATATATATATATAGCGTAATCGGGCAAGTTCTTAGAGCTCTAGTTTGTGGCTTTTGAATGACATGACCAAGTCCCATGATCCGCAAAGTATGGTCGTCATGGAAGTTTGGCAGTTCCGTGTCGTAAGTCCAACAAACCCGATCTCATGCCAAATATGTGTGTGTGTGTGTTTTTTGGTTTTAGGGCGGGTAGACCCTAAATAACCTCACACCTGAAACCCAGACTAAGCAGCAGAAAGAAGCAAAGGGCTTTGGGAGAATGGTGCTTGCATTATTGCGGTTCTGTCTATAGACTCTGCCCCAGATGGATGCACTGCAGCTTGTTAACGCTTCACTCTGGATTTCAGAGCTTCCCGCTGTCGACAGCGACGATTCATGAAGAAAGCAGTTGGTGTTGAGTATCTCATGGCATAAAGTCCACGGGCCAAGCGCCTTGGCTAACATGGATGAGTGTAATGTAGGGGCCTTCATAATTAGAATAGGGTTTGGGGTACACTATACCATAATTCAAAAGAAATATAATAAGGACCCCCCCCCAAAAAAAAGTATAGGTAATTATTAAGGCCCTACATTAAGTGCAGCAGGTATATGAAGAGCTGTCTGGAGATTCGAGCACTGAACCCTGAACCATGAAGATCTCCATCCTCAATGGCTGGGCGAAGTTCTAAACTCCTAGAGCCTAGAGCCGTCGTACTCTTCAAAGGCATGGAAGAGTCACGAGTCCGTTGGATAGAGTCGCATCCAAAGACACTTTCCAAGCCCATGGTCACGAGAATCATGTCAGTGGTGGTAGTACTACTAGTAGCAGTAGCAGTAGGAGTAGGACCAGTAGTAGTAGTAGTTGTAGTAGTAGTAGTAGTAGTAGTAGTAGCAGTACATTGTGCCGGGAATGTAACAGAACAGTTATTTTGCGGAACCGTCTTGGCCATCTTGGTGTGGTCAGGGGGGGAACAGGATTGCCATAAACCCTTAAAACAAATCCCTAGCCCCTATAGACCTCAACCATATCCCACCTTTGCTGCCAGTACAAGAACGACATGCTGATGGCACAGAAGCAACAGGACGGTGCATACTGAGCTCGTTACAGAAATTCCAGATTTTTTGAGCGGGCCGTCTTATCGCTGTTATAGGGGTTTTGCGTTCCCAAGATTCTTAAGTGTATGAGAGGATTTAAGTTGTTTGACATCTTTGTTAGGGTTGTCCTGCAAAGCAAATTAACCTAGAACCCCACAGGTGTCGGCAAGCCCTGTTTTAACTTCAACTCCCCCATACCTAGGTCCTGCGAACTCCCCGCATCCAAAGTCGGTTCGGTGAGCTTTCGGATTCTACGACTGAAGCGTAAAACTCCCGAATTATGAATATCTGTAAATCCTTCAGATCACAGGATTCCCAGGCTCATGCGCATTATCAGCCCTCCTTGCTGAAAGAGTTGTGCACTGTGCACTCGTGTTCCACACTCCTTGGATCACGGAATCGCAACCCTGGATGCTCAACCCCTAAATCCTAAACGCTCTACACAACAACCCGAACAGTATGCAACCCAAGCTAAATCAGTAAATAACTAGAGCTCGAAGAGGAGCTGCTGGAACGACAAGAAGCCGAACGCGCCGCGTTCTTTCAGCCCCTCTGGCCCTTTAGGGTTTAGGATTCAGGTTCCAAAGGGTCAAAACTTCGGCTCCCACATCCTGTGAACCGTCAGCAAGCTTCAAGACCACTGCCGGTAAGGTAACGGTAATCTGGTTGGCTTGCCGACCACAATACTGCCACGCCATGTCAATCAGGATTAACGGAAGCAGGAACTCGAAGGTTGTTGGCAAGCTTGTTCACTTCTAGGGCTGTCCCTGGCATTCCTGCTAGCACCGGCAATGCTGACTCAGTCTTTTGAATCCCCCATTTCGGTATTATGGTGTGGCGTCCGAAACCCCAAACCCCAAACATCGTAATTCCATTACACGAAGCATACATCTCACATGCTACCAGTGGGCCGAAACCGTAAAGGACGGCAATGGGCCGACAACGACACCACCACCAACAACAACAGCAACAACAACAACAACAACAACAACAACAACAGAAACAACACCAACAACAACACCAATAACAAGA